GACCACTCAGCCACTTCCTGTGGAGTTTTCCCACCCACAGTCCTGTGAGCTGACTTTGGAGGGGCAGGAAGTGAAGGGAGAGGACCCAGCAGATGGTTATTTTAATAGCCCAGCTGAGCATTTTTCAGCTTCAAGCATTTTTACCTGCGTTAGCTAATTAACTGATAGTTTGTCCAAGTGGAGATGAGGGATGGTAGGAGACAGGGAGCTCATGCCTGATCACGCTTTCAGGGTCTGAAGGGGACTGATATCATGACTACAGTTCTAGGGCCAGGGCATTTAAGTGTTTGGACAGGGGCTAAAGGACAAGAGCTAATTGAAAGGCTCTTAGGCCCATGTGCATGATGATGGTCAGCTGGTCTGTCTGAGACAGTGTGATAAATGCCCCATACAGTTCATGGGCAGTCACGGTCAGAGAAACCCAGTCAGACCCCATCACTGGTCTGATGACAAGTGCATGGGATATTAGCTGCTTCACCACAGAAGTCTTGTCCAGAGAACTGTCCCTGTATCCAGGAGCCCGAGTGAGATTCTTCATGGTCAGAGATGTTGCATATGATTTTTTTTTATACAGGAAAACTTTCACATCAGAACACAGCCAGCAATGAATTCCTATTATTTGCTATTTGCCTTCTATCAGGAGCATCAGAAAAGACAAGCATATTTATAGAAAGGAGTGTATTTAACACAGCTTGTAGTAATTCAATATAGGCATCTATAATTTCACATTTAAAAATTTACCTTAAAATTTTTACATAAGTAAAATATACTATTTTTTGTGTATATTTTTGTGGGTTTAGACTTAACTGTAAAGAAAAATATTTTAGGCTTTGTGGACACACAGTCTGTCACAAATACTCAGCTCTGCCTTTGGATCACCAGATAATACATAAATGAATGAACATGACTTTATTTATGAACACTGAAATTTAATATATATTGTTGTTCAGTCACTAAGTAGTGTCTGACTGCAACTCCATGAACTGCAGAATGCCAGGCTTCCCTGTCCTTTACTCTCTCCAGAGTTTGCTCAGACTCATGTCCATTGAGTTGGTGATGCCATCCAACCATCTCATCATCTGTCTCCCCCTTCTCCTGCTCTCAGTCTTTCTCAGCATCAGGGTCTTTTTCAATGAGTTGGCTCTTTGCATCAGGTGGCCAAAGTATTGGAGTTTCAGCTTCAGCATCAGTCCTTTGGATGAATATTCAGGGTTGATTTCCTTTAGAATTGACTGGGGCTGTAATTTTCTGATCTCTGGTTTAGACTGGGGTTTCTCAGCCTTGGCACTACTGACACTTGGGGGCAGATAATTCTTTGCTGTGGGGGGTGTCCTGTTGCATTGTAAAATGTTTAGCAGTGTCTCTGGCTTCTACCCATTAGATGCCAATATCACTCCCTCTTTGCATTGTGACAACCACGAATGTCTTCAGACAATGTCTGATAGCCTCTAGGGAGCAGATTGCCCCCTATTGAGAAGCACTGGTTTAGACAAATGCGTACAGTCATTTCACTACCACAACAATGAAAATACAGAATAGTTGTATTATCCTAAAAAAGTCCCTCATACTGCATGTTTGTAATCAACACCCTCCTCCATCCCAATCCCTGACAGTCACTGGTTTCTGTTTCCGTAATTTTGTCTTTTCCAGAATAATACATAAATAGAATTATCATAAAGCATGTAGTTTTTTGAGTTTGATTTCTTTCACTTAGCACAATGCATTTGTGATTTATTCATGTTGTTGAGTGTATCAGTAATTTATTCCTTTTACTGCTGAGTAGCATTCAATTTTATGGACATACCATAGTTTATCCATTCACCAGTTAAAAGATATTTGTATTTTTTCCAGTTTTTTTGTGACTTTGGATGAAATTGCTTTGGACACTTGTGTGCAGGTTTTTGTCTGAATGTAAATCTTCATTTTTCTTAGGTAAATACCTAGGAGTGGAATTTGGGGATCATATAGTAATTGTATATTTAATTATATAATAAACTGCCAAATTATTTTCCAAAGTGGCTGTACAATTTTAAGTTCTCACCAGCCATATATGAACATTCCATTTGTGCCACATTCTCACCAACACTTGGTATTGTCAGGGTTTGCTTTTTTAAGCCATTCTAATAGGCATTTAGTGTTTCATTGTGGTTTTAATTTGCATTTCCCTATTGATTAATGGTGTTAAGCATATTTTAATGTGCTGTCTATCTTTATTGGTGAATTGTCCATATCTCTTGCCCATTTTTTATGAAGTGATTTATTTTCTTATTATTAAGTTCTTTATATATTCTGGATACAAGTCCTTTGTTGTATATGACTTGCAAATATTTTCTCTCAGCCTGTACCTTTCTTTTATTCTCTTAACAGAATCTTTTTAAAACAATTATCTATGTATTTATTTTTTTAAATTTTTGGCTGTGCTGGATCTTCATTGCTGCACATGGGCTTTCTCTAGTTGTGGCGAGCAGGGGCCACTCTCTAGCTGTGGTGCAAGGGCTTCTCATTGTGGTGGCTCTCTTGTGCAGTACAGGATCTAGGGTGCACAGGCTTCGGTAGTTGTGGCACAGGGGCTCAGTAGTTGGGGCCTGTGGGCTCCAAAGCTCAGGCTCATTAGTTGTGGCACATGGCCTGAGTTGCCCCGTGGCATGTGGAGCTCTTTGGATCAAGGATTGAACTGGTGTCCCTTGCATTGCAAAGTGGATTCTTAACTATTGGACCACCAGGGAAATCCCACAGTTTCTTTCATAAGCCGCCGCCGCTGCTGCTAAGTTGCTTTAGTCGTGTCGGACTCTGTGCGACCCCATAGATGGCAGCCCACCAGGCTCCCCCATCCCTGAGATTCTCCAGACAAGACCACTGGAGTGGGTTGCCATTTCCTTCTCTAATGCATGAAAGTGAAAAGTGAAAGTGAAGTCGCTCAGTCGTGTCCGACTCTTAGCGACCCCATGGCCTGCAGCCCACCAGGCTCCTCCGTCTATGAGGTTTTCCAGGCAAGAGTACTGGAGTGGGTTGCCATTGCCTTCTCCACTTTCATAAGCAGATGTTTTTAATTTTGAGGAAGTCCAGTTTATCAATTTTTTTCTTTTATGGATTGCTCTGTTATGTCATATCAAAGAAAAAATTTTTTCCTGTGTTTTCTTCTACAAGGTTCATAGTTTTAGGTTTTACATTTAGGTCTACAGTCCACATTGAATTAATTTTTATTTTATTTATTTATTTATTTATTTATTTATTTTAAATTAATTTTTATATAAAATGTGATATGTGTTGTTGTTTGTTCTTTTTTTGCATGTGGGTATCTAATTGTTTCACCACCATTTGTTGAAAAGACTATCCTTTCTCCATTGAACCGCCTTTGCACTTTTGTCAAGTTAGTTGAGAATATATGTGGGGGACTATTTCTGAATTCTCTATTTTGTTCTATTGATCTATGTGTCTACCTTTTAGTTAATATCACACTGTCCAATCTTACATGTTAAATACAATTCTTAAAGGTGAATTCTTTTGAAACAGTTATGTGTCTAATAAGTGTTCTGTCATGTTGAACACATTCAGTATTAAAGATTTAAAACCTGAAGCTAATGTTTAGGTGAAAATCTTGGATCAAAGTTGGCAGGTGACAAAGTTGACAATGCAGATAATGTGAAGGTGTTAAAAGAACACTGAAACATCTGTGGTTTTGGGCAAATCCCCTAGCCCAGTTAAAGTTCCTGGGAGTCATCTGACATAAGCTGAAATAGTAGTATGGTGGCAAGATGACCAGCCATTGAAAAACGTATTCTTTTCTTTTCTCTAATTTGGCTATTGGGTCTTAGTTGAGATGTGCAAGATCTTTAGTTGTGGCATGCAAACTCTTAGTTGAGCATGTGGAGTCTGGTTGTCTGACTAGAGATTGAACCCAGGCCCATTGCACTGGAAGTGTGGAGTCTTAGCCACTGGACCCCATGTAAGTTCCTGTAGAACTTATTCTTGAGGACTCAAAAGACCCTGGAGAGAGTGTCTGAAATAGCTGAGGAGGGATTAATTTCTACAAGTAGGGAAGTGGGTGTTCATGCTAGAATAAATAAGGTACAAAAGACTACTGAATAATATAATCTCATTTGATAATTGGAAGCAAATAAAGCTGAGGATATGTGGTTATATTTTGGGGATTCTACCTGGAATTCTTATAAATCTTATTGAAATTTATATCCATACTATGAACTCATCACTGTATCTAGAAATAAAGCCAATAAATGTTTAGGATAATGACAAAGATAACATTACAAAATTTGTGCATGGTGGTAGATGTAGACTTCTAGAAATCTCTATGCATTGTGGGATTTAAAATAACTGTGAAAAATCTGAAATTGAAAAGATGTGCAACTTTTCTGTTAGGTACCTGGGCAGATAGAGGGCCCAGTAAGGTCTTCAGGAGGAGAGAGAACACAGCCTTACTCAAGTTTCTAAAGATGTGAATTGGGCTGCAGTACTAGGCAGATACCAGGGAACAGATTTTCAGTGTTGGATATGGTTAGAATTTCTCCTACATGAAAATGATAGTTCCAACTGTCACCAGAGTCATTGGCCTAATTGCTGGGGACAGGTGAAAGGAAAGGCCATTCAGTTAGAGATTTATGAGATCCAAAAGTTGAGAGTATTTGGGGAGAAGGCAACCTCTGGCATGAGGAAAGTGTGCTCTTGGTTGGGCCCTCTGCTGAGATACTATAAGTGGTGGATACCACTAGTGGAGAAGTGATAGCAGAACCTCTGAGTCTGACAAAGGGAGTTTTCAAGGCTACCAGGGTCTCAGTGTTAGCTGGCTGAGTGCCAAACACTCAGACCATTTTAGCAGTTGGAAAGGTTTATAGTCATAAGGTCGTTCCGATTTTCTTCTATGCTCTATTGGAGGGTGTGAGAAAAGATGCATACTTTTTTTTTCTTTAAAAAAAAGGAAGAAAGTGAAGTCGCTCAGTAGTGTCTGACTCTTTGTAACCCTGTGGACTGTAGCCTACCCAGGTCTCCTGAATTGCAGGCAGATGCTTTACCCTCTGAGCCACCAGGGAAGTCCTTTTTCTTTAAAGGTGCCTACTTTTGAATTGGGGTTGGAGACACACTTATAGGAGACAGAGGAAACAGAAGCCAAAGTTCTAAACAGTATGAATCAAGTTCTCTGTATAATAGGGAAGGACTAGTGTTATCCTAAAGTAAGGCTTTGGGGAAAATTTCAGCTGTGAGACCCAGAATAGTCTTTTAGATTCTTCCAGTTATTGAAATTAACATAGGAAAAGGAGGAAGGGAGGCAGCTCAAGTCATGGGATGAAGGAAACTCCATCAATTGAGGTGATTGTAGATACCCAGCAAGAACTACAATGACTACTATCCATGAAGACTTCAAGGTACATATGAAAGCCCTACTAGTGCCCTTAGAGGTTTGGAGAAAGAGCTCTGAGGGTGGATACTTCAGAGTCCTAAAAGGTAGAATGCTGGAGGAAGTGGGGCATGAGAAGGCTCTAGGCCAAGAAGAAATTCCAGCTCTCCTAAGGTTGAAGAGCATCTGGGGAAGAGGGAGTGGAGATGGGCCTAGAGTTTGAGCTGTCTTCGACCCACCCAGGAGCCCCAGGCAGGTGAAGAGCCCATCTTTGTCTTGTGGAGTAAGGATCCTAGGAAGATGAGGAGCCAAGAAAAGCACCAAGCAGTAAGTATGGCTTGATAGTGAATTCACAAGTAGCAAGCTCCCAAGCCATTCCCCAAGACAAAAATAGAATGGATAAGATGTGGTTTTGCTTTAGTACTGATTGACTGGCGTGAGTAACCTACAGGAGTGGTGGAAATGATAGAAGAGATGAAAAATCTGTAGTTATTTTTTTTTTCCATTTAAATCTGTAGTTATATATTGGACCCTGGCAGTGCTTGGCAAAGGTAGGTACATTATAGGGATCAAGTCCAGACTCTTTAAAGTGTTCACTGGAAGCATTTCGTAGTGTTCTACCCTTACCCAGGAAAATCAAAGCAAGGAAGAGTCTAAAATTCCCACCCTCCCTGTTTCCATTCTCGGTCCTTTAATTTGGGGGATTCCTAAAATCCAAAAGGTAGAAACAGAAGGACCAAACCTGGAATAGTTTCTCTAAGAATGGGCTGTTGACTGAGCATAAGGTATGCCCATAATCTTGAAGTTGGAAGCCCAGAACCTTCAGAAGATAGTGCAGTAAGTCTATATGGTCTGAGAGAGATGATTTTTTAGATCACCTTAAAGAACTACTGATTAACTGCATCAGTTCTGGGTTCCATATCCCCTTTTGTGATGGTGAAGGAAAAAAATCAGGTAAATTCTGGGTTTGTGTGGATTTCCTGGCTCTGAATAGACAGTCTAAAATAGTCCAGCACACTGTGTTCCTTATACAGGATGGCTTAGCCACTTCCTATGGAGTCAGTTGTTTCCAGAATTGGATGTCAGAGCAGGTATTATAAAATCTCTATGACTGAATAGAACATTAATAGGGTAGATTTTATCTGTCTTGTGTAGGTCTAGCAATGTGAAGGGACTGGGGTTTCAGGAACCCTTATTACTACTCAGAGGTTATTGGAGAAAGTGAGTGGTCATTTGAATTTATCTGCAAGTGCTTACTTATTCATTTATATGTAATATTTATATATTCATTATTTATGTTTATATACATATATTCATATTCTCCAAAACCTTGGAAAAACATGGGCAATGGGTCTTTGAGTAGTGAACATATATATTAAAAAAAGTAGTGAATATGTTTTTTTTTTGTCTGCCCAGATTTTCTTTAAAACTGCCCTTCCCAATTCTATATCTATGTATCTTGGGTATAGCTGGCCTCATACTCTGCTTCTAGGAGTGCCATATGACCTGATGCCGCTGCTGCTGCTAAGTCACTTCAGTCGTGTCCGACTCTGTGCGACCCCATAGAAGGCAGTCCACCAGGCTCCTCTGTCCCTGGGATTCTCTATACAAGAATACTGGAGTGGGTTGCCATTTCCTTCTCCGCCATATGACCTAGGCCTGTCCAATTAGAACATTCCATCTAACTAGGCTGAGGGGTTGGTTCGGGGTGAGTGTGTGATCCAAGTTAAGCCATTGAGATTTAACCCTCAGAATTTTTCTGTAACTATAAGGAGAAACTTGCACTTTGCTAGATGGCATTGCTGAGCATGTGGAATGTAGGCCTGGGGTTGCTGGATGCTCTCCTTGTCACCACTTAAGGGAACATCAAAGGGAAGGAGGACTGAGAATGTATCTGATTCCTAGTAGCATTATTTGAGCACCTCAACTTAAGCTTAGGGCTTTTTCCAGGTGGCTCAGTGGTAAAGAATTTGGCTGCCAATGCAGGAGCCACAGGAGCTGCGGGTTTGATTCCTGTGTTGGGAAGATCCCCGGAGGAGGAACTGGCAACCCACTCCAATATTCTTGCCTGAAGAATCCCATGGACAGAGGAGCCTGGCAGGCTACAGTCCACAGGGTTGCAAGTAGTCAGACATGACTAAGCATGCACACACTCAACTTAAGCAAGTTTATTTGACTTAACCAGATTTTATTTTCTTAGGCTCCAAAATCACTGCAAATGGTGACTGCAGCCACAAAATAAAAAGACATTTGCTCCTTGGAAGAAAAGCTATGACAAACGTAGACAGAGTAATAAAAAACAGAGACATCACTTTGCCAACAAAGGTCCATATAGTCAAAGCTATGGTTTTTCCAGTAGTCATGTACAAATGTGAAAGTTGAACCACAAAGAAAGCTGAGCGAAGAATTGATGCTTTCCAACTCTAGTGCTGGAGAAGATTTTTGAGAGTCCCTTGGACTGCAAGGAGATCAAACCAGTCAATTCTAAAGGAAATCAACCCTAAATATTCATTGGAAGGACTGACACTAAAGCTGAAGCTCCAATGCTTTGGCCACCTGATGCAGAGAGCCAAGTCACTGGAAAAAGACCCTGATGCTGGGAAAGATTGAGGGCAGGTGGAGAAGTGGGTAATAGAAGATGAGGTGGTTGGATGGCATCATCGACTCAGTGGACATGAATTTGAGCAAACTCCAGGAGATAGTGAAGGACAGGGAAGCCTGTTGTGCTGCAGTCTATGGGGTTGTGAAGAGTTGGATACAACTTAGCAACTGAACAACGGCAACAAAGTTTCCTGTCACTTAAATCTGAAAATGTCATGCTAATACAATAGTAGTACTAGAACACATGGGAGACTTTACAAGTCGATCTCAGTAAAAGAGAATGACATGTCATGCAGTGTGTAAGAACAGGCCATGAGAAGATCTTATTATTAACAACTAGTCCTACCCTATCAACTATGAAAATATGGAAATATTCATAATGTTTATGAAGAACTCTTCTAGGATTACAGAAGTCTTGTGCTCTAACTTGGCATTATCAGGACAGACCCAGAGCACCAATTCATAAGTCAGCTTAAAATCCAGAAGGAAGTCAAATCCCTTACTCCCTTGACCCCTTTTGGGAGTTCAAGGCCTTGGCGACTTTGCTGAGCTCCTTAGCTTAAGGTTGTCCTAGCAATTGCTGATGCACGCTAATATCAGTTTTGAGGACATCTAAGTAGGTGCTATGCTAGAAAAATAAAGAAGAGAGAAGGTCTACAGTTCTTGTTATCAAGTCTGTCTGATAGTGAGACACCATTTAAATGGAACAAATGGAACACCATTTAAAACAGAGTTTCTGGATTGAAAGTGGGAAATCACAGGTAAATTCTGAGAGAGATAGCAGGTGTGTCAAGTGCTAGACTAATCTCATTTGCCCATGTATTTCGCAGTTCTAGGTTGATTGCTTCTGGTCAGTCAATGTTAACCGCTCAGTCGTGTCCGACTCTTTGTGACCCCATGGACTGTAGCCCACCAGGCTCCTTTGTCCATGGAATTCTCCAGGCAAGAGTACTAGAGTGGGTTGCCATTCCCTTCTCCAGGGATCAAACCTGGGTCTCCTGCATTGCAAGCTGATTCTTCACCATCTGAGCCATCAGGGAAGCCCAGATTGCTTCTGGTACCTGGCTATTATTGATCTGTAAGTGTGCCAGTGGTTTTTCTTCACTAGTTATATTCACACGCCACCAAGAATCAGGCTCTGACACAGGTCTAGCGGGAAGACTTGGACACCATGATCATGGTGGCATTTGACTATGTGGTCGAAGGCAGATCATTACCATCCTAAGTGTGGGTGTAGAGTTGGAGACAGGAATCATGGACAGGAGCCAAGCCTAGTATATGTGTGTGGGGGTTCTCTCCAAAGAAAATACTCAGAACTTCCCAAGGGAGAGGACCAGAGCATCCTCCAACAGAGATGGCTTCAAGACCTGATAAATGATATAGTACCGAATATGTGACATTCTGTTTTGGAGGACTCCCAAGTCAGATGGGAGGCAGGGCCCATAAACTCTGATATGATGTTCAGTATGGTGCCAGAAGATGCAAGAATGAAATAAAATGCTCTTTCAAGATTTGAGGCTGCCCATGAAGCTCAAAATAGCTAATTGGAAGTATAACACATAGCCAGTGAGAGAGGAAAGTCACAGTGATTGACCAAAATAACTTACTACTAATGTAGGAATCAATCCTCCTTTCTTCTGGCCCACTCTGTAGGCATTAGGGTTCATGAGGAAGCCCTCCCCCTCTCACTGCTCATTCACTCAGTTGCATCCAACCTTTTGCGACTCCATGGACTGTAACCCACCAAACTCCTCTATTATGAATACTGGACAAGAAAACTAGAGTGGGTTGCCATGACCTCCTCTACCTCCTGTCACTACTAGCGGCCTTATGGGGAAGAGAGAGAGGAAATTGGACAGTGGTTCAGAGGGTAAAGACAGCAGCCTTATTTAGGATTCTTGGGTTGCAAGTAACAATCTAGCTGGAGCCTACTTAAATAAGCAAGGAATTTATATAAACAGTCCCTATTAGACCCGAGAAAGAGGCCAGGGCAGGGCGCACAGACTTTCTCCTCGTAAGATGAGAAGTCAGCATGGTTAAGGGAACTTATCCACCAAGATAGAATTGTCAACGTCAATACTGTTAGACCCAAGGGGTGGTCAAGGAACAGCTGTTTATAGCAGAATGGATGCAAGGAGCTTGGACATGTGCACAAGGATCCCCTTCAGAGTGCAAGATGAAGCCAGGGGTTAAAAGAGATGGGAGTCAGAAATCTAAGGATTTGTGAATTCTAAATTTGATCATAGTCTTCCAGGTTTGCATGGAGGTATATTTGGCAAGATAGGAGCATAGAATATGCTTAATCATTTTGCTTAATTAATCGTTCGTTCCTTTGATTTATAATTTTAAAGTATTTTGACATATGGTATGTGTGCTCCTATTTATATTGCTGTGCTGGGCCTTGCAAATGTTAGAGGTGAGGCTGACCTTAGAACAAGGACAAAGCTGGGCATCAGGAGGCTGGAGACTCAAGAAATTTACTATTGATCAGGTCCTTTCCATTCTACATCTCTGTTCCTTTCAGAGTGTTTCCTTCATCCTTCTTTGGCTTTCTGAACACTGGCCAGCTTCAGAGATTCCATGATACAGATCCAAACCCCTGGAGAGACCAATTCTTGTTTTGGCCAACCCAATATTTGCAAATATTTGTGAAAGAAAATTTAACTTAACCTGTGTTTCTCAACTAAGGCCAGTGGCAAGGTCATGTGCAAATTGGAGAAAGGAATGTCACGTTGAACTGGAGAAAGGTATTCAGCAGTGTGTACTACAATGGGGCAATTGACCAACCAGTCTGGGTCATCAATCCACTGACACCCTCAAGCCTTAACCCATAAACAATATTCTTGGGGCTGGTTAATCTACCCAATGAGGTCCCAGAAGTGAGTGTATCACCTGGAAAAGCAGAGGAGGAAAATACTACCAATAAAGAGAAAGATTCTCAACAAGAAGAGTTGTAATCTTATTTTGTAGTGAGTAGTTTTTTAGGATCGGGATTTGCTGGTTACCTAATCCTCACCAAATGTGGCCTTTTTTTTAAACCTCCTTTGCTTTAGTCGTGTCCAACTCTGTGTGACCCTATGGATTGTAGCCCGCCAGACTCCTCTGTCCATGGGATTCTCCAGGCAAGAATACTGGAGTGAGTTGCCACATCCTCCTCCAGGAGATCTTCTTGACCCAGGGATTGAACCTGCATCTGTTGTGTCTCCTGCATTGGCAGGAGGGTTCTTTACCATGAGAAACACCTTTCAAATCTACCCATGGCTCTCCCTCTTTTGCCTATATTGTTTCAACAATGTTTTATCTTCAAATGATTTTCAGTTTGTATCTTTAATTCACTCTGCAGTCTGTAATGATTCTTGAATACAAATTTGCTCTCATTGCTCAGAACATAAGGAATGCATTCTTGGGAATTCCCTGGTGGACCAGTGGTTAGGTCTTTGTGCTTTCACTGCTGAGGGCCAAGGTTCAACCTCTGGTAGGGGAATTAAAACCCTGCAAGCTCTGTGGTGAAGCTGAAAAAAAGAAAAAAAAAAGAATGTATTCCTTATCTTGGCTTACAAGGCTCTTCATGTTTACCTTGTGCTTCATCCCTCACCATCCTCTGCCTCCTTCATGACACAATTTCCAGGATTCCCCAAGAGACACCGGCTTCCCTCCTGGCTCAGACAGTAAAGAATCTGCCTGCAATGCAGGAGACATGGGATGGATCCCTGGGCTGGGAGGATCCCTTGGAGTAGGAAATGGCAATCCACTCCAGTATTCTTGCCTGGAAAATCCCATGGACAGAGGAGCCTGGCGAACTATCCTCCATAGAGTCGCAAAGAGTCAAACATGACTGAACACATACACAAGAGACACATGCTCTCTTCTGGGCCTTTGTGCATGCTTTTCTCCTTCTGGGCCTACATTCCCATCTGGCCTGTGATCCAGCTAGAAAAGGAACCGGCTTAGACATGATGATTTTGAGGTGTTCTGGGGCTATCTAATAGGAATTTGCGTAGACAGGAGTAAGAATACTTTAGGAGGCTGATGAGGGTGCTACTCAGAGGTCAGAAAGGGTGACTGGCTTTCAACTGGAGGAAAGACATACTCCCTCAGAGAGGAAGGCAAGGAAGCAAGGATGGTACTAGTTGCTAAGCTCTGGAGGGGATGTAAGGAGGGAGGTGCTAAGCCTGATGGTCTCTGTGAAATAAAAGGCCAGGTTACATTTACTGATCTAAGGGTGAAATAATAAGTCATTTGCGATAAGTGGTGAAGTTTGGAACATCAGAGAAAGCACATTGAAGATAAGTAAAAGAAACTGAAGTTATGACCAGAGACTAGCCCAGAATGAACTTGGCAAACTTTTTTTCTTTTTAAAATCTAAGCCCAGCTGCCTGAGTGTAAGAACAGAAGGAAGACTCATGTTTTGATCTGGAATTTGGCTTTGGCAGAGTGACTTTTTGGAAGGACAAGGAAGAGAGACAATTGAAGGTACTGGGAGAAAATTGTGAAAAAGATACACCTTGGGTCAGGCCTGTGGTTCCTGGTACTGGGGCTAGCCTATGACAACATTTCATCAGTTTGAATAGCATATTTAAAGTGACTTACAGGGTTTTCCCTGGTGGCTCAGTGGTAAGCATCTGTCTGCCAAATGCAGGAGACATGGGTTTGGTCTTTGATCCGGGAAGATCCCACATGCTGCAGAACAACCAAGCCCGCACACACAATTATTGAGCCTGTGCTCTAGAGCCCAGGAACCACAACTACTGAGCACATGAGCCACAACTACTGAAGCCCCCATGCCCTAGAGCCCATGATGTGCATCAAGAGAAGCCAACGCAATAAGAAACCCAAGCACCACAACTAGAGAGTAGCCCCCACTCACCACAACTAGGGAAAAGCCCATGAAGCAACGGAAACCCAGCACAACCAAAAATAAATAAATAAGTAAAATAAAAAGAAAAATAAAGTGACTTACAAACATTTCTTGGGAAGGATGGTCCTTTAGTTTGAAGTTATATTCTTTCTATTTCTTGCTTTTAAAATATCTTTAAAAATTAAATTATTGGGCAATATATTAGTTTCCTAGGGCTAGAATAATGAATAACCACAAATTTGGTGAATTAAAACAACAAAAATATATTCTATCACAATTTTGGAAGTTAAAAGTCCAAAATCAACTTGTTGGTAGTATTGGTTCTTTCTAAAGACTCTGAAAGAGAATCGGTTCTATGCCCCTCTCCAGCTTTTGGTGGTTGTAAGCAATTCTTGGTGTTTCTTGGCTTGGACATGTATCACTCCAGTTTCTGCCTGTGCTTCACACTGTCTTCCTCTCTGTATCTGTGTCTCAAATCTCCCCTTGACTTTTTCCTTATGGTACCTGCCTTTGGATCTAGCACTCACCCTAAATCTAGGATGATCTCATTTTAAGATCTTTATGTCTGCAAAGACCCTCTGTCCAAATAAGGCCACATTCAGAGTTTCTGAAGGGTTAGGATGTTGATGTATTTTGGGGGGGCCACTATTTATTACAGTGGTATTAGATGGCCATTCTTTCCCTCCAATGCCTATGCCTGGTCAAAAAAAAAAAAAAAAAGAGGTAGGGAGGGTTGGATAGAGTTGTCTATTTGGGCTGAGATTTCAGATAAAGAGCAATTCATGGGTATAGTATCATATGATTCTCATTTGCAGAGTCCTGGGAGAACTCAGAAGAAACATCAAGGCCCTATATCAGGGTAGGATATGGAGCTGGATTCCTCCATTGCCCTGGAAAAGAAGACAAGAAACATATTTGAGTTGTGGTTAGGGAACACAGCCAGAAATCAGTGCTGCAAGAACAGAATCAGTGAAGAGTGTGAGGTTAAGATAATAGTCAAGGAGATCAGGAAGAGGCTAAACAGTAAAGCTATTGCAGAAGAAGATGGAGAGAGTAAATAGAGTGCACTGTCTTGCCCTGAACTTTTGGCCTCAGGAGAGTTAGCTAGTCTAAAAGCACGAGGGTTGGGAAGGAAGGATAAATTGGAAATTTGGGATTAACAGATACATATATTATACATAAAATAGATAAACAACAAAGACCTACTGTATAGCACAGGGAACTATATTCAATCTCATAATAATCTATAATGGAAAACAATCTGAAAAGGAACATATAACTGAATCACTTTGCTTTACACCTGAAACATTGTAAATCAGCTATACTTTGATTTAAAAAAATGAAAAAAGCACAAGGGTCAGTGAATGTATTACTACTTGTTCACGAGTCTCCTTTACTAGATGATGGGTTCATTAGGGACAGAATAGTGTCTAAGTGTTGTTCGTTCAGTTGCTAAGTTGTGTCTCACTCTTTTTGACTCCATGAACTGCAGCACACCAGCTTCCCTGTCCTTCACTCTCTCCTGAAGTTTGCTCAAATTCATGTCCATTGAGTTGGTGATGCTATCTAACCATCTCATCCTCTGCTGCCCTCTTCTTGTTTTTCCTCCAATCTTTCGCAGCATCAGAGTCTTCCTATGAGTCCTCTCTTCACATCAGGTGGCCAAAGTATTGCAGCTTCAGCTTCAGCATCAGTCGTTCCAATGAATATTCAGAGTTGATTTCCTTTAGGATTGATTGGTTTGATCTCCTTGCAGTCTAAGAACTCTCAAGAGTCTTCTCCAGCACCACAATTCGAAAACATTAATTCTTTGGTGCTCTTACTGAGTACTCTGCATAAACTCTAGATCATGAAAGGATTTCAGTTGAACTGAAAAAGCTTGTCATTTTGGACGGTTCTTCCCTTCCACCTTTAACATTTAAAAATCTACTTTGGGTATAATTATCATATTACATATTTGATATATGTGATGACCAGTTGATAGGGACAGAGTAAAGAAGTAGGCGATTAAATAGTTAATCCCACTAGGGGATGGTAAATAAAAAATATATTGGAAACCCCTGTAAGTTAATGGCTACTATAGAAAGCAGGTTCAGAAAAACAAATATCATGTATTAATGCATATATATGGAATCTAGAAAAATTGTACTGACAACCCTATCTGCAGGGAAGGACTGAGATACACATGTAGAGAATGGTAGCTTTGACATGTATATACTACCATGTGTAAAATAGAATGCTAGTATGAAGCTTCTGTATAATACAAGGAGCCCCAGCCTAGCACTCTGAGGGGTGGGATGGCAGTGGGGGTGAGAGGGAGGCTCAAGTGGGAGGGGATGTGTGTGTGTGTGTGTGTATATATATATATATATATATACTAATTTGCATTGATATATGGCAGAAACCACCACAACACTGTAAAACAATTATCCTCCAATTAAAAAAAATTAAGAAAGCAGGTTTGCTTAACTTCAAACCAAGCTGGCTTGCTTAGCAACAAAACCATATTGCAGAAGCATGAAATGTGCCCCAAAACAATAGAACAGTGGTGGCATGAGACCCACATACTGCCCAGTGAGTTCAGTAAGTTAATGATCTCTAGGATATGCTGCCTGCACATATAAAAAACAATAATCTGTGGACCTTGCTTGACCATGTAGGGACAAGAAAACTCTCCTGCTCAACCTGGAGGAAGAGCTGATGATGGAAGCATGACGTCTACTCAGGAAATACAAAGAAGTTCTCCCCCTCTCCACTTTTCCTTTGATTATAAAACCATAGCTCAGTAAGTTCTTGGGGCGTGATACCCCCTCACCAGTTGCTTGTAATCCTCACAAGCATCCTATTCTAATAAATCACTTCTTATCTATCACTTTACCTCTCGCCGAATTCTTTTCTGTGCTGAGACATAAAGGACTATGGTCCTGGAGCTCTTCAGATCCCCCTGAAATGACACCAGAAATGGTTTCAAATGGTGACCATGACAGGACTGTGGTAAGATAAGAAGGGTAGGGGCATGGGATGCCATGGGCTAGGAGTTCAAGGGAGGATGCTTCACTCATGATAGCCCATTTCAGTCAGCCCAATCCACTCTGAATGCTTTGGGTCTCTGATTGGGTTCCCAGGTACAGGTCAGGAAGACAATGGTATGAATGTCTAAAGATGGAACTGGAGGAACTGTGGCAATCAGCATGAGTTGCTATAAAAAGGTGGTGTGGATGTTTAGAGATGCCGAAGGGATCTTGTTGTTGTTGCAGGGGTCAAGAGAAATGGCATGTGAAAAGGAAGGAATTTTACTGTCTGGCTTGCTTTGGTCAGATTGGAATCCTGGCCACATGGAAACATACAACGGCAGTGAGATGGTTACGCTTGTGCACATCCAACAGCAAGCCTGGGCTAAAGCCAGCTGCTACATGATGTTACAGAATTTAGTCATCTATACTCTGCTCTTTCACTCTGAGGTTTTCCTTCTATGCTCTGTATCTGTTTCTGTTCCGTTTCTTTTCCTTTTAATTCCAGAAAACTTTTTACTGCATTCACTAGAAAAATTCATTCTTCTCTCTCAGTTTATTTGGCAAGAAAGAAACCAGCTAAGTTCTGAGACTTTTCTTCTATTCTTGATTAAAACTCAAGACTGTGTGTTTCTCAGAAGGCCCTTGCCTTTCAAGATGGCCCACATTCTTACGAAAAGAGTTTCTCATTAAATAAATACTCATCACTTTGTCTCTCACTGAATTCTTTTTGTGATGAGACATCAAAAACCTAAACTTCATTAAGTCCTGAACCTAGATGTGTAAGCTCCAATTAAAAAGCCCTGGGTTCAAGTCCAATCTGGCTTATGGCTGGGTTGGAGCTTTGGTTACATGAGTTCAAGTCCTAATCTGGGTTACACGGCTTCAATATTAAATGAGAAAAATTAAGCTGTAAATCAGCACCCACTTTATTGAATAAATTATACAAGCTTCTGTGATAAATTAACCAGATTTATTTTACAAACAAATCAATCTTAACTTGGCTAGATTTGGTAAAAAAGTAAGGGCAATTTTGGGCTTCCCTGGTAGCTCAGCTGGTAAAGAATCCACCTGCAGGAGACCCCAGTTCAATTCCTGGGTTGGGAAGATCCCCTGGAGGAGGGATAGGCTACCCACTCCAGTACTGGGCTTCCCTGGTGGCTCAGATGGTAAAGAAGCCACCTGCAATGTGGAAGACCTGGGTTCGATCCCTGGGTTGGGAACATCCTCTGGAGAAGGGAATGACTACCCACTCCAGTATTCTTGCCTGGAGAATTCCATGAACAGAGGAGCCTGGCGGGTTACAGTCCATGGGGTCGCAAAGAGTTGGACACGCCTGAGCCATTTTCACTTTCAGGATAATTTTAGAGAAAAAAGTTATGTTTTAATAGATAATACATTTTAGTTTTACTACTTGAGGTCCATATCTACTGTCTAAAACACACTTTTCAAATAGCTCTATGTTGTTATATTATTATAAAGCTTAACTGAGTTATTAAGAAGGTATTTTAAGCTTGTTACTGAAGCTGATCACTGTAATCTATCTTTGGATAAAGACTAAATGCTTATAACTTATAATCATGGAACTTACATTTTAGAAAAAGAAATCATTTAAAGGACTGTGTTCCACCTAGATAAAAGGCCTCTGATCAGGTATTCTTCAGTATATCATGCCCAAGAAAACTAAAGGGAATCAACTTCCAAGACTTAAGGTACTTTCCCCTCAATTACTAAAAGTGCCCCATGGAGGACTTCCTGAGCCCTGATGTCAGTCTTCCTCTCCCTTCAACTCTTACAAGTGCTAACCCTCTATTTCCAGTTTGCAGCCAGACCAGTTCTCACTCACTGTCACCACCACTGGGGCACCTTCTGTTCTATTCCTTTGTATCAGGTTCTCAGGCATTGACACCTGGTTGGGAGACTACTTTGGAAGAGATAACATCTAAAGTTGTAAATATAAATCTTGATTAAATTACGTCTTAGATTTTGACATGGGAAAGAAACTTTTGGATAGGTGGCTATTGCTCCAGTGAAAGCTGCTATATCCATAAAAATAGCTGCTCCAACAAGGGCTATCTCAAAGGTGGAAGCCAAGGCTACAGTCAAGGATATTACACCAGAGCCCGTGCGAACCAAATGGCAGCGCAAGCCCCAGAGCACCATACAGCACACCTGAAGGGGAATAATGCTGTCCTTGAGGCAAATCCACAATGGAATCACCAGACAAATTTTATTGATAGGGATAGATGGGACTATATGATTAATTGCTTAACAGCAGGTATAAAAACTTACAGTGAAAGATCAATCATGAAAAAGTGAAAAAAGTCCAACAGGGACCAGATGAAAATCCTATGTTTTTCAACAGAGATTAAAGGAAGCTTTTAAAAAGTATACAAATGATCCCTAATCTGCCAAGGGACATGCCCTTTCAGCTATGCATTTCATTCACAGTTCAGTCTGCCCCTAGACATCAGGTGCAAAATTCAAAAAACAACTGCGGGTCCTCAGACCCCCTAAGAGTGATTTGCTCCAATGGGCTTATTTAGTTTTCAATAATGCAGATATGGCCAAAAAGGCTGAATGCATCCAGAGGGATAAATGAAAGGCTCAAACGATGACAATGGCTTTCTCTACTCAGAGACCACCAAAGGGGAGGCTGGCTTTTCCAGGCCCATTTGGCTGTGGTAGACCACAAGGCTCATGGGTACCCAGACAAAATCAGCTGGTCCTGTGTGGACAGAAAGGACGCTGGAGGAAATACTGTAATCAATGTGCCCTTTACAAATAGCCAGGACATTGACAGAGGGGATGCCCCAGATGCCAGAGAGCAATGGGAGCCCCTCAGCTTTTAATGGTTTCACAAAATACTAATGAGGCCCAAGGCCAAAAGTGGCTCTGCCTAGTGGGGCCATCTACATAACTAATGCCGAGGCTCATGTGGACACTGAAGGGGTGAGCCACTTGATAAATTTTTCATAGACACTGGTCCAACCTTCTTGGTCTTAACCCAAAGTACTGGAAACCTTAACAACTATAAGAAATATGTAATGGGAGTATCAAGAAAGAGACAAGGGCACACTTTCCTGGGACCTCTTTTGTGCCACATCAATGGCTGGTTGTTCCTTTATTTCTTTCTGTTTGTGCCTGATTGTCCTATTTCTTTAATGAAAGGGACTTATTAACTAGATTAGGGGCCACTCTGTGTCTCGAGGGGCAAGGAAGCTACTCTTATCACAAAAGGATATTAACAAAAAAATTTTTAAAACATTAAATCTATAACTGAAATAAAAGACTCCACAGACCCTAAGATATTAATATAAAACACTGAGATTCTGAGGCTAACCAAAAACAAACAGATTGAGGCCTTAAGTGATGGGGGAAATGGTTTAGATCTTCAAGATCATGGATATAATCTCCTTTAACAACTTTTCTAGTGCTTTTTACTGTATTTCTTTTTCATCTATATCTTTTTTGTGGACTCATCCTCCAATGTTTTACATCTAAGAGGGCTAAAAGGATGATGCTAACCAGAGTGACATTGACTTGAAATTCTCCCAGTATAGAAGGGACAGTCAGCAAGGTGCTTTACTCCTTCCCTAGGCAGGCATATGCCTCATCTCGGCTGGAAGTAACGATTGATCATTACCCCTTACCCTATTTTAAGCATAAAAGGGTAAACACCTGAAGGGGGCAATGATATCAACAGAATAAAGGGGCAAAGTAGGTTATTAACTAGTAAATCTCACTAGAGGATTGTAAGTAGAAAAAATATGCGAGACTCCTATAAGTTAACAATTAATCAAGAAAGCAGGTTTGCTTAACCACAAAACCAAGTAGGCTTACTTAGCAACCAACCGACAGAAGCACCAACCATCCAACAGAAGCACAAGAATGCTCCCAAACAATAAAACAATGGTGGCATGAGCCTTACATCTTGCCCAGTGAGCTCAGTAAGTTAATGATCCCTAGGATATGCTCTCCGCACACATAAAAAACAATAATTTGTAGACCTAGCTTAACCACATAGGGACAAAAAAACTCCCCTGCCCAACCTGGAGGAGATGAAAGCATGATGTCTACTCAAGAAAGACAATGGAGTTCTTCTCTTTCTCCCTGCTGCTCCTGTGATTATAAAACTATAGCCCAGTAAGTTTTGAGGGCATGGCACCCCAATGCCTGTCTACTTATAAGCCTCACAAGCATCCTGTTCTAACAAATCACTTCTTATCTGTTACTTTGCCTCTCTCTGACTTCTTTTCTGCACCGAACAATGAAGGACTATAGCACTGGAGCTCTTCACAGCCTCTAAAACAACATCCAAATGGTTTCATGATTATGTTTTTTTTTTTCTTGCTCATATATGAAAATATATTGCTTTTGAACTCCCAGTTCCTTATACTGGGAATATCTAAGGTGCTTTTACTTCTATTCCCAGGACCTTAGATGCCTTTACTTCCCAGGTGGTCCTAGTGGTAAAGAACTCATCTGCCAGTGCAAGAGCTGTAACAGATAGGTGTTCAATCCCTGAGTTGGGAAAATCCCCGGAGGAGGGCATGGCAACCATTCCAGTATTTTTACCTGAAGAATCCCATGGACAGAGTAGCCTTGTAGGCCCCAGTCCATAGGGTTGCAAAGAGTCAGAACATGACTGAAGTGACTTAGCCCACACACTTAACTCTAAGGTCTTAATGACCTGGATAACCATGATGGTTTGTTCACTAACCTAGAGCCAGACATCCCAGAGTGTGAAGTCAAGTGGGCCT